TACCTAGCTGTCAAGCGTGCCAAAATCATGATCTCAAAAACAACAGTGCAACTTAGGTACCTCTCTTCAGTAAATCTGTGCTGACACCTGAGAGCTCTGCCTAATAAACCTAAAATTCAGCTCCTGCAAATGTAGCTCCCAGCACTAACTCACAGTTGCAGATATAGGGCCAAGCACACAGGYCTGTTCTAGTTCAAGAGCCTGCAAGTCGCTAAGCCACAATCTCAAGGTCCTTTTTACATGCTAAATTTCTGKTTTTGTGAGTCCTGCATTCTTCCTGGGGCCAGTCCTGGTCAATGTCTTTATCAGTGACAAGGGGATCAAGTGCACCCTCAGTCAGTTTGCAGGTGACACCAAGCTGGGCAGTAGTGTTGATCTGCTGGAGGGCAGAAAGGCTCTGAAAAGGGATCTGGACAGGCTGGATTGATGGACTGAAGCCAATTGTACGAGGTGCAACAAGGCCAAGTGCTGCATCCTGCCCTTGGGTCACAACAATTCTGTGCCGTGCTGCAGGCTGGGACAGGGGCTGGGAAGCTGCCTGGTGGAAAAAGCCTGGSACTGCTGGTCAACAGCAGCTGAATGTGAGCCAGGGTGTGCCCAGGTGGCCAAGAAGGCCAGTGGCAGCTGGCCTGGATCAGCAATGGTGTGGCCAGCAGGACCAAGGCAGTGATTGCCCCCTGTACTTGGCACTGGTGAATCCCATGTTCAGTTCTGGGCCCCTCACTACAAGAAAGTCATTGAGATGCTGGAGCGTGTTCAGAGAAGGGCAACAGAGCTGGGGAAGGAAGCACCTGAGGGAGCTGGGTGTGTTAAACCCAAAGAAAAGCAGGTTCACAAGGCACCTTATTGYTCTCTAAAACCACCTGAAAGGAGGTTGTAGCCAGGTAGGGGTTGGTCTCTTTCCCCAAGTGACAAGTGAAGGGACAAGAGTAAGGTGGACTCAAGTAGCACTAAGATGGGTTTAGATTGAATATCAGGAAAAATTTCTTCATTGAAAGGGTTGTCAATCACTGGAACAGGCTGCCCAGGGAAGTGGTAGAGTCACCATCCCTGGAGGTATTTAAAAGTGGTGTAGATATGGTACTGGAAATGTGGGTGAGTGGTGGACTTGGCAGTGCTGGGTTAACAGTTGAACTTCATGCTCTTGAAGGTCCTTTACAATCTGAATTATTTTATGATTCTACTCCCAGTGAGGASTTCTTCTTTGTACATATAATAGGACAATTATAGTGACCAATTATTCTAAAGAGTTTCATAGAACACACATTTCCTAAAGAAGAAATGACCTGGGTGTTTCATAAACCGAAGACCAGCTTTGATTCATTGTTTATGCTATTGTTTTTGCTAGAGYCTCTAAAATATGCTGTTCTGGTGGAAATATATTGCCTGTCCCTTTCCCTTACATCAAAGTCCAGAGTACACCTAAATAATATCTGAAATCATGAAATATAACTACAAAAGAGCATATCGCTGCTTTTAAACTGTCATATTCAAAGAAAACAAACACCCATCTGGCATTTGTTTGGAGTATCATGTTACACCTTCTGTTAGCAACACACTGTTGAACATGATACCAAATTAACATGTCTCAGTAAATCAAAGCTTAYCCTAGGTCTTGGCTTGCTCTGTCACACGGAATTCAAATGTCAGTGTGTGAAAGACTTAATTCTCTGCTCTACCTGCTGCCGGTGCCGTAGATTGAAGAGGGTGATGTCCGCATGCAATGTGTAACAACTTGTTAAACAAATGGGTGACAACCAAAACACCACCCAAGAAAAAAACCTCAAACAACACATGATATATAATTAAGCATTTTCACCTGTTTGAAACCAAAGACAGAAGARAAACCTTTAAAAAAAAGTTGTTGATTCCAATTGCTTTTGAGCTTGGTGGAGACGTTAAAAGTCAGTTGTCATTTCAGAAGGCAGATTCTTAGCCCTTAAAAATTCTGGCCTTACCAAAAATTTTCTTCTGTGAATAAATTGCTACCACATGAAGTCGTATCAGAATTACAAGAGGGTATGACAGTCCTCTTTCTCCTGTTAGTTGTGGTAAGAAAACCAATATGTGGGAACACTTCATGCAATGTTGGTCCAGTTCTGTTGCACCCAAAGTCAATATCAGAACTTATTTTTTTATGCATACAAATATTAYGGTTTCAAACAGCATGGATGTGGATCTTTTTGAATACCTGGCAAGACATTTGGCTTTGAGTAGCTACTGCTTGTAATTAARGGGCCTTTCCATTCCAGTGAACAAATGGCTTTTTTACAAATTCTCTCTCTTATGAAACTGAAATCTAGGAACTAAGTCCACCGAGTAAATTCCAGAGGTAATGATAATAATTCCAGCTAGATAAAAATTCTGTGCTTTCTATTCCATTACATGCAGAAAAAAAATGCATGTACCGCTTTAGTTATATTACGAAGGTTATTTAGGCCACTCTAAAAGCTGTCTGCCAAGTGTATCAAAGAACATTTACTTTCTCCAAGCATATAAAAGGTGTCTAAGACCTTTGATTTCTCAAAATGTTCATTATTTATGTTTTATGAATTAGGAAAGTTTCTCTCTRCTTCTATAGATTATTCATTGCAGTAATACAACATTAAATTTAATTCTGCAGTCATCCACAAAGACAGAAAAATACCATTGGATCTTACTTTGCAGTGCACAGTGAGAACATTCAACCTGTAAATGGCCATAGAAGTGACAAATCACCTGAGGCCTTTATAGATATTGGACCATTTTTCTTCTGAGTTGTAAACTAGTAAATTAAGTTTTTGACAAGTTCCTTGCTAACTCTATTCATTCATTACACCTGAAATTTTCAAGAAGCCCTAAATTGCAGAAAGAATTTTGAAAATAACTTGCTAAATGTATTTTACCATAAATTTCCAAATATGATTGAAAGAGCTGAATGCCCACTCTATTTCAACTGGACAATTACATTTTAGATAGAAGCTAATGCTGGAAGGCCTTAGAGTTTAGATTAATCTTAGTGCACACACCCCAGACTAAATTCTCTCCTTCTCCAAAAGGCATTCTAAAACAGAAAAAAGAGTCTTTTTGTCTTCCTTCTTGCCTTTCTTTCTTCCAACGTCTGACTTCTCTGTCTTCTAATATCAGATACAGTGATGAAAAAACAAAAGAGAAATTATTGTTGCCATGATGTAAGTACATTCTGATAAAGATGCCCCTGTTCTTTTGTTAGTTTTGTCTTTTGTCCTGTTTACCRTATGGCTAGAAGGGGCCTTCACAGTCATCCTTCCTGTACAAAGGGATCAGCTTTATCTAGGCCAGCACTGACAAATACTTATTTTCTGTTTTCTTACAAACTTTATTGGCAGACTCAAAGCAAGCTGCTCCCACATTTCCTTCTTCCTGCCATTAAAATCTTTTTTTTTAATGTCTACCTTGAAACTTCCTTGTTGTGACTGAAGCTTGCTTGGATTCACAACAATCATGGGAATGGGTTATATCCTTCCTGCTTTGCTTATTTGAAGTTATCACATSTCACTCAATCGTCTCCCCAGCTTGTTCAATCTTTTCTCACAWATCTTAAAGCTGAAGCTATGGTAACACTTGTATAGCTTTTTAAAATATACTAAACAGGCTACTAAATACATAACAAGGAACCATCTAAAATAATTTATGCACCACTCTTGAGATGACCCTTGTTTCTGAGGGTACAGATGGATAATCCTGCTTTCCATTCAGTTTACTCACTTTTGTGCAAATTCTGATGAGCATGGTTGTCCCCTAAAGTGTATGGGAGAAAGATAGCTCCCCATTCCTTAATTAGGAAGCTGCAGATGTAAAGCAGGTGGGGAAAACARAGTAGAGGTGTAATTCTGTCATTTTTGGTGAGTATATTTCTACATGGTTGTTCCTTTTATGACTTTCTGTTAATGCCATTCTTAAAATGACATGGAAAGCTGCTTTGTTAGTTGAGGACTAGTAAGCTCAGAATTTTTAAAATGGAGTATCTAACTGCTTTTCTCAAAAAAAATAATTATGTTCCACGCACAATTTTTAAAATTGCTTAGATTTTTTGCATATCAGTTCTTTCAGGAGAAAAAAAAGGGTCTGCAAGCCATATACAAACCCATAAAAGCCACATACATTTTGTGCTACACAAATGACAAGAATTTGAAGTTATACCTCTGTCTTCCAGAATGAAGTTCCTAAAGAACATTTTTTCAGTAATATAGTTTACTTTCTCACTACTTTGTAAAAAATACGCTTAGATACAATGTCCAGAAATTTCAAACTGATGAAGAGGACGCTGTTCAAAGAGAGGCAATTGGGTTCAATCTTATCACCTATATACCCTTAGTATCATCATTAGAAATTTTCAATACTTTTTCTTGCATGGAAGTTTGCTTTGTATAATTAAATAAGCTTTTCTGCAGAGAGTGGTAAAGTCAATCCAATGAGAAAATAACTGCAGTATGGGTAGGCCATTCATGCAGAAAATATCTATACTACAGAATGTTGTGTGGCAATTTAGAGTATATGTAAAACAATGCATCCTTCCAATAGCTATAGACCTAGTCTTTGTACATCCTTATCCCTGATACTTGTCAAGCCTGATAGGATTCCAATGATAGGTTAGAATGGCACAATGGCTCACCTACCACAATTTAGACTTTTCTTCTTTTTCATTTTATTCAATCCAGCTGTGGAATTAGCTACGCTTGAACAACTCAACGTACTTGTGTAACCGTTCACCAATGGCTATGTTTATTAAAGACAAAAAGGGCAAAGAGTATACAATCCAGTCACCAACAGATTTGAAACCTCCTGTTGCTGCAGATATTTCCATGGTGTTCTAAATTACGTTGTAAAATTATTTCCGTTTTGGTCCTATATACCTGCTGCTTGCTGACATCATCAATAATTTAACATTGCAGATATCCAAAATYCTGTAACATTTTTCTTCTTGCTCACAGCTATGTTTGCTTTCAGACTTAYGTCTGTGTATTTTTCTTTCCCTCCAGGTAATGCATTTGTGGTGAGCCTAGCTTTGGCTGATCTGGTGGTGGCCTTGTATCCATACCCGCTGGTGCTCCTAGCTATTTTCCACAATGGATGGACTCTGGGTGAAACGCACTGCAAAGCAAGTGGCTTCGTGATGGGACTGAGTGTAATAGGCTCCATTTTCAACATCACTGCAATTGCAATTAATAGATATTGCTATATATGTCATAGTTTTGCCTATGACAAAGTGTACAGCTGTTGGAACACAATGCTGTATGTCTCCTTAGTCTGGATATTAACAGTAATTGCGACTGTGCCAAATTTTTTTGTTGGCTCTCTGAAGTATGATCCACGCATCTATTCATGCACGTTTGTTCAGACTGCAAGCTCCTACTACACRATAGCTGTTGTGGTCATTCACTTCATTGTCCCTATCACCATTGTCAGCTTCTGCTACCTTCGCATTTGGGTTTTAGTGCTGCAAGTCAGAAGACGAGTCAAGTCAGAAACCAAGCCAAGATTGAAGCCAAGTGACTTCAGAAACTTTCTCACCATGTTTGTTGTTTTTGTGATTTTTGCCTTTTGCTGGGCACCTCTAAACTTCATCGGACTGGCTGTAGCCATTGATCCTACAGAAATGGCACCAAAAGTTCCTGAATGGCTATTTATTATAAGCTACTTAATGGCCTATTTCAATAGCTGCCTTAATGCAATAATATATGGTCTTCTTAACCAGAATTTTCGGAATGAATATAAACGRATTTTAATGTCACTGTGGATGCCAAGGCTTTTCTTCCAGGACACATCCAAAGGAGGAACAGATGGCCAGAAGAGCAAGCCTTCTCCTGCTTTAAACAACAATAACCAAATGAAAACTGAGACCTTGTAAATGTGTAATAGTCAATGCAAGAGTTTGTCATGGAGAAAACCAAGATCATAGTTGTAATGTTCTGGTCATTTCTGCTTACTTTTGGGGAGTTTCCACTTGGATCACACTTTATGACTGGAATACTGTCTTCATAGTAAAGCACATTGCTCTCCATTGGTGATTTAGAGAAGACATAAATTGAAAATGTGTTTCAGAATTAAAGCAACAGGTGGGTGCAAGCTGTTTTAGTTCTGAGAGCTGAATCCTGCTTCAAGACATAAGAATGAGGTWTTTTTTTACTTCAGCAGGAGTTTTGTGTTCTTTATACAAGATCAGGATTCATTTCGTAGAAGATGTAGTGAAGGTACTTGTCCATGTGTACAGCACCTCATTAAGCCTGTGGAGCAGGATTTCCCCCCCTTCTGTATCTGAACAGAGGGTGAGACAGACACTCTATTTTCCAYACATAAGCCAAATGTTGCATTTCTGTGCATGTACTGATGACAGTAACRGTGTCTTTGCATCAAATTTGTAAACTGGAGAGAAGAATATTTGTGTAAAACCAAATATTAACATTAGAGTCTTTCMTCACAGGTTTTCATTCTTACATACRTTGASAATGGGAATACACTGCATCTACTCTGTTCATCTTTTGTGGTCAATTTAATAGTAGATAATGTAATACAGCTGGTTGATTTCTCACACATTTACTTTACACAATATTGTTTCTTTAGAAAAAATTTAATTTTCATTGAACCTCATTTATTTACTCAAATATGTGTATATAAAATGTCATTTGATGCACTTTAGCACACCTTACACATTTGCAACAGGCTGGAAATTATAGCATATGACCTRTGATCATCTGGAGTGGCAACTGGACACTAAACAGGATATCCTACATCATCTCAAAATATGCTAGACCAGAAGAAGAACCCCTTTTAATGGTAATAATGGTAGCTGATATTCTTGACTYACATGTCTACATCTAATCTCGAACAAAACCCACTGCAGGTGTCCTAAGACAACCTTCTATGCTCCCTTTAGTGGAGATGTGTTTCCTTCCATCTGTGATGATAAACACACATCCAAAGATAGGATTGATGGCTTTGTGGAGGTGCTGGTCTCCTTTCACTGACTTTAGAAGCAGCTTTGTTTACTAGTTCAGACATCTAATTTTGGATGGCTAGAGAGGGATTTCTCTTGCCTAATTTGGGACAAATCCACTGTAGATGTTTGCACACAACCCATTTTCTAAATACCCACAATAGCCCATAGAGTTCAAGGAAATTATTCCTTTTCTCTTGAAATAGGTATCTTTATTGGTCCGGGGAGCTGATCAACAGAACTCAGTGACTGTACCTTCACTGACTGTAAGAGAGATCAGGCAGCTCACACACACACATTTCAGGCAAAGAACAGGTGATCTTAATTCCATAAATAGCGGACCTACACTTCACATTTGCAGTTCATAAAATAAAACTATTGTTTTCCATTTTATTTTTAAACTCAGCTCAAATTCAAACTGGATTTCTGCTTTTCCAGGTAACAAACACATTGTAACAGTGATTGTGCCAATCAGATTACAATTTGGGCTAGACTCCACAGCATTACAGTAATTTACACGATGTGGTTGTATTATCTCTAAATCAGACTAGGGATCTGTGTGCAAGAACACAGTCAATGAGCTGATTTTATCATTAGATTTGAAATGCACATTACTCTTAGCATTTTTTAGCAGTGCTGTTCAGGGTAGAGGGGCTAGGTCTCTGGTAAATCCTTGTCAGTATAGAAATTGGACCATGAGGAATTCAGGTTCCTATTACATTCCAGTTTGGGTTTCCTGACCTGTCTATTAGGAAAAATATTCCTATAGGAATATTAATTTATACAGCAAATATACTGCTTCTAAAGTCATAAAGATGTATTAAACAGCACCCTTATGTTGTTAGTGATAGAAAAATATCAAAGAACCACGGTATTTTAAATGTTCTATTTTCTTGCCAAAAGGCTGTGTAGAGAACAGCAAAGTAGCGAATGTGATTATTATTTTAGCTGCTTTCATGTTCTTCACATGATTTCTGACAATCTCTAAAGGTCTRTGCCCTAGGACTCATCAGTAATAGGCTCATAAGAAGCTGAAAACTTTGTACATGGGGGTAATAAAGAGATGGGACAAATATCACCTGGTGGCATAAAATAAAAATATTGTGGCTAAAAGTAGCAATCATGAATAAGTAGAAGTGACCTGAAACAAAATTTTGTAAGTCTGAAACAATTTGGATGTGTGTTGTCTTTCTTCATGACTTCCACAGCAAGATATGSAACACAAAATCAATATGCAGGTTTATCTACATGTAAAATCTCCCCCAGAGTAAATATGGAGTTTCATAAGTCTCTGAAATTTGCAGGAAAGGATACCAAATTTGATTCCCTGACAATCCTGCTTTTTCTGACTTCCCTGAGTACTCAAAACTGTCACTTGAAAATCAAAATTTGTTGTCAGACTTACAGATGAAACATTATTGGAAGTGAGTTGATAGACCTTGGTTTATCGCTTGCTAGAATGAGTCAGAATAGAGTTCAAAAATTATTGGTGTAACTCTGTAAAATAAATTTAGATATTGGGACCATTTCTTTGGTCATAAAAATGAGCTGCTATCACTCTCGATACTCATGAGAAATGAATATMAAGAAATTTGTATAAAGTAATTTTACAAATTTAATCTGCTCTTTAAAAATTTAAATATCACTTTAAAAATCCTTATTCTGATCTGTTCCCAACTATCCTAAATGAAGCTCACACAAGTTATTGAATAGAATCACGGAATCATGGAATGGTCTGGGTTGCAAGGGAMTATRAAGACCATCTATTTTCAACTGYTCACCTCCCAMTAAACCAAGTTGCTCAAAGCCCCATCCAGGCTGGCCTGGAACACTTCCAGGGATGAAGCATCCACAACTTCTCCAGGCAATCCATGCCAGTGTTTCACCACTGTCACAGAGAGAAGTATTCCAAAATTGTATCCTTCCTCACAAATGATGGAAAATTTTTGGAACAGTGCTGAATTGTTAGGTGTGGATTTTTACCACCACAGCATTACCTGAAAGGGACCCTGCACTRCATGGTGGTTGCAAAGCCAGTGGAGCTATTATTGTGCCAGGTACTGCCCCTTGTTGTGTCCTGATGTATAGACAATAACTCAAGCCTGTTAAAATAAGTTTGATACCAGCTATTAGTATAAAGCATTGTATTTGAGTTGACCTGGAAATCAATCAAAGCCGTAAAAACTAAATTTTCCTGCAAGTCAATCCAATGCATAAAAATTATATTAATTTAGATGACTAAATGGAGCTCTCAATGGTGAAAAGTCTTTGTGTAGTAATGTATATTTTTACCTACATCAGATGCCTTAAATTAATTTTCTCCTGCTTATTTAAGTAAAAATCCATTTCCCCTCAAGTTAAGTTTGAAGGAAAACTTTATAAATGCACCGTCAGAGAGGTGATATGGTTATAGCATGACTTGAAAGTATGGTCAGGGAGAACATATCCGCTCTGAAAAGATTTTTGAGGAAATTATTACTTTTGTTATATAAAAGTATTTACACCAGCATATCTGATATAGGCACTTTAAGAAAGAAGAGGAAAAAAGTCAGGTAGACCCTGTGTCCTGCACAAGGTAACTAGTGAGGGAAAAACGGGGGCCTCAGGGACAAAGTCTGTTTCCAGAAAATGTGGAGTGTTTTCAAACTTTTAGTGTTATCTTGATTAAAAAGTGTTGCATTTTCTATTACTTAAAAGAAGTAAATGTATTTTAGAATTGTACTTACAGTAGAATTYTGATTAGAAAAAAGCTTACCCTCACATAGATGGGGGAAGACCACTTGTAAATTCTGTTTCACTAARGAGAGAAGTGGAGGTGTGGCAAAGTCCAAATGAGACTGAAACAATGCATTAGTCTTATCCTGTCTCCCTGTGCAAGTGAAAATGTCACTCTCAAGGAAGAATTAAAACTCAAGGTACAGTCCTATTACTGTTGACTTTGATGAGATTTCTCTCTGAATTGTTGACTGAAGGGAATAATTCTGCCTGGTTCATTCTCAAGAGCAGAAAYGCATTTCTGTCTCTCCACTTCTTCCTTTAAGAACGTACTTAAATAAAAATTATTGCTTTCATTTCCCAATTGTATTTTAATGAATTGCACAAGTCTTGGAATTTGCCAATGAATAAATATATATGGAAGATTGTATATATTTCTTAAGATGTATATAACACAGTTTTGGTCATCTGAACAATTTGTTGCACTTAAAGATGTTTACAGATTTAATGGAAAATGAGGAAGACAATTTATTTTCAGTCATCTATTAATATGTTGCTAGTTTAACTGGATCTTGCACATCATTATTATCTATAATAATAAATCAATATTTTACCTCAAGTTACAATGAGCGTGCAGTGAGACCACTATGAATGTCTGCAGAACATACAACTGATTCCTGTTCACTGTCTTGTTAGTGACACCTCCAGCCTGACTAATAAGATTATTTTTTTCATATAATATTCTACACTTATAAATATTTTTGTGACATAAAATTACTCCGGGTTAGGAACATGAATGAGCTGGGAAAAACTGGATACTCTAATTTGACTGGAGTTGGAGGTTGAAGCAACAAAGAATGTGACGTGCTGTGTGACTCCCTGGACTTGGTCACGGGGGTGGAACTGTCCCTTTCACTAACTGCAGAGACTTGTGTGCAGCCCTGGGGGTTTTAGTCTTTGTGGATAGCTGGGATGGTCCTATGGAATACTGCTGGGGTTCACTCACAGAACAAGTTAATCTCATGGCATTGCATRGGTAAAATTCCAAACAGTTCAGTGGCTGCAGAATGAAGACTTAAAATGGCTGTATAAAGGTATAAAGGGGACAATTCTTCTTTGGGAGAATAAAGTAGAGCCACAGTAACAGCATTTTTAAATAAATCATATTTTAGGTCTGAAGTAGGTAGCAACTAATTTTGATTCTCTATAAACCTAYGGAAGTTCTCTTTACCTACAGCAGTGAAAAAATTAACTGAATGCATGTGAACTGATAGTACAGGCAATCATGTGAGGTCTGTTGATGCCAGCTGTGTTCTATTTACAAACTAATGAACAGTGAGGTTTTGTTCAAGGAAGACCAAAAAAAAAAAAAAAAAAAAAAAAAAAAAAAAGCCTGCAAAAGCTATTTCTGTGACCATACTTTTAAATTGCTTGTGAGAAATAACCGGATTACCTGTATGCAGCGTAAGTGTAACCATTTCATCCTGGGAACAAAAATCTAAAAGGCTTTGCAAAAATTATACAGTCCTGTCTCAAGGAAAAGATACTCTACTCTAGAAACGTGCACTCCTAATTTCAGAAGTCTCCATAGGACACTGAAGATATACACAAGATGGTGTGAGGGTGCAAGACTGCACAACTGAGAATGTAAGAGTTKTTTGTTTTGCTCACAAAACAGAGCTTGCCTGACTACTCTGAACACAAAACCAATGCAGGAATATCCCAGACACAGGAAGCACTGGAAACCTGTTACTGCCCAGAATGGTTTATAGGAGGATAAGGCCTCAACTATTACTAATAGCAATGTGGCTCCTCTAGCAGATACTGTCACTGTCACTTTCTAATCCTCTGCCGACAGCAAACTTACAGGACTCTATATTCAGACTCTTCACTGCATTAGTACATCTTTTTCATGATGCTTTTTTCCCCTCTTTCATTTCAGGAGCCACTTGGTGCAGCCTTGTTTCCCCAGGCTTAACAATTTCCTTATATRACTGAGGAGTCCTAAACAGTCCCTACAACAAACAAAAGAGTTTTTCCAGGAAGAACCAGCTCTTTCACACCCTCTTGCTTTCAATTTTTCAATGTCAGTACTTTTTCTAGTTTAGAATAGTTATTAACAAAAAGGAAAATAGAAAAGGAAATGCTCCTCAAAACCATTGTTAAGGGACATTAAAATAAAGACTACCTCTGGCTTGAAATGTTCATCTCTCTGTGGCAATCAGTATATAAGCAGATAGAAATTTTCCCTCACAATCTCAAGAATACTGTCAGAATTCCAGAATCATGTCTTAGATTGGGAGGGATCTCCAGAATTCAAATTGTCCTAATCCCTGCTCAAAACAGATCTAAACTAATCAAGTTGTTCAGGTCCATACCCAGTCAATTTTGAACATGGACACTATACAATCTCTCTGGACATCCTACATCAGTATTTGATCATCCTCATGGGATATTTTTTTCCCTAACATCTATTTGGAATGTCCCACCGTGCAACTTGTTCTCATCGCCTTCCATCCTATCACTGTGTACCCTCAAGAAGACTCAAGCTCTATCATCCTCTGATGAGCTAGTTGTGGACAGCAGCC